ATGAAGGGCATGGCCAGTCTGCAGAGCTGGCCCAGGCTCTGCCAACCTCTGAACTTGTTGGACTCTGTCCACAGCTCAAGTTGTGCTGGTTTCCATCCTGGGGAGCAGCTGTAGCTGGTGCCTGGTCTCGAGGCTCCTTTTAGCAAGCAGAGTGGTGTGTGGGGAAAAAGACCACTGTGCTGAGCCCTTCTCTCTTCAGTGACTGCTCTGGGACTTGTTCTGGCTGCCCTGGGTTCGCTCCATCTCCTCTGCAGCACCACCCTGGAGGAGGAGGGGAGAAGGGGGGAGCATGCCAGGCTGCAGCTCGCTGGAGACTGTCCCCTTGCTTCTCCCAGGTCACTGGAGAGCCCCTGATCCGCCGCTCGGACGATAACGAAACGGCCCTGAAAACCCGGCTGAAGGCCTATCACACCCAGACCTCCCCCCTGGTGTCCTACTACAGCAAGAGAGGGATCCATACAGCCGTGGATGCCTCCCAGTCCCCCGACGTGGTGTTTGCCAGCATCCTGGCAGCCTTCACGAAAGCAACATGTAAAGACCTGGTTATGTTCATTTAAAGCTCCGTCCCAGGATGGGGTTCTCCTTTTTTTTTTTTTCCTCTCTCTTTCTCTGTCTCTGTCTCTCTGGGGTCAAGGAGGGTGAAGAGCTGAGCAGAGTAGAAGGGGAAGGAATGAGGTGGTGCAGCCCAAGGCAGGGCTGTGCTAATTCTTTAATTTAATTAAACGAGCTGTTAACGGTCTCGATGTGGCTGTATGTGAACGTCAGTCTGTGTGTAGATGTTGGGATTTTGGCCTCTAGAGGCCGCAGCGAGCCCAGGCTCCGGCTGCCCGAATTGGGCTCTGCACTCCTTTGGCACAAAAACCTTTTGTTTCATCCTAGAAATGCTCCTCTCTGAAAGGAACGGTACTTCCAGCTCCTCCTAGCTACCCCACAGGGGCCTTGGAGAAGGTTGGGGATGTGGGGGAAGGATTTCCCAGGAGATGAGAAGCTGGAGGATTGAAACCTGGGGTTGCTCTGTGTGTGGGAGCAGCCTGAGGGACAGCCTGGCTGCTGCTCGGGGCTGGGTGATGATGTGTTCTCCTTGTATGTGTTTTATTCCCTGTGGGGTAGGAGGTTCTTGTTCTGATGGCACTTGGTGGGCAGAAAGAGGGTGGGGGGTTTCAACCTTTATTTATTTGTGGGATTTATAGCAATTTAATGAGGTGCTTCTTTTTAATGTGAAATCTGTGGTCAGAGTCTGACAGTTACTGTGTGGCAGGTTGGGATGTCCTGAGGATAAGAAAAGGACTTGGGTTTTAACTCTTCACTCTTGCCTTGGTTTTGACCAAGGAGAGGAAGATGCATTGAGCTTCTCCTGACCCCAAAGTCTAAATATAATAAAGCCTTATTGCAAAACAAATGATTTCTCAAGGCTCGAGAGGCAGCGTTATTAACCACTGGCTCCATGTGCCCTTGACCTTCGTTGTGAGCTCATGGAAATGTTCCTGATCCTTCAGCAAATCCAGCAGCTCTGTCAGGCTGTGTTTGAGGACACTGTGTGTGCTCAGAGCCTTTCCAGGGCATTGTGCTGCTGTGTGGTGACACTGCAGGGCTGGCACTGACCTTTGGCCATGAGGGATTCCAGCCCTTCCTAGAGGACCCTGCTGTAAATATGGATTGGCCCAGATGAAACTTTGTCCTTTGGCATTCCATGTGTGTTTACTGATTGAGTGTTACTGAGTATCCTCCTCTCTCTGGGAATGGCCCACTCCATCCTGTGCACTGAGCTGCTGTGAGCTCTGTGGCCAGAGCAGATGTTTAATCCTCAGGAATCCCTTGCTCTTTTCCTTGATAATTTCTCTTTTGCCTGACAATCCCCTCTCTGTCCTCACACATCCTTTCCAGGGACAGAACCTCTTCCCTTCCAGCAAACTGGGAACCAAAAGCAGTGGACTTGTTGCTCTAGAAAAGCCCGTGAGTGAGGAGAAAGGCTCTGACAGTAAACAGGGCTGGTTTTGCCAGCAGCCTGTTGTCCCCTGGGACTCCCAGACAGCCCTTGCTCTGCCTCTGGGTTTCCTGTGGAAGGATAACCTGGAGTTGGAGTGCTGGGATGTTGGGATAGCTATTAGGACAAGACTGCTGTGCCCCAGGGAGTGGGAAAGTGTGTGGGTTACAGCAGCCCTGGCATCTTGGTGACTAAAGAAGTCGTGTGGAAGAAGCTTTTATTCTGAGAGCCAAAGGGAGAGCTGCAGCCCCCTACACTCTGGGAAGGGTTCCCAGCCAGTTGGCATTCCTGGATTTGGTCAAGATTTTACTCTACAGCAAGAGCAAGATGTTCCCCCACTTTCATTCCTTTCCTCCCTTGCTCTCTCTTCACATTCAGCTCACCAGCCTTTTTTTTTTTTTTTACATTAAACCATGCTTAATTTTGTTTGTTTGTTTTTCCCTAAATATTTTTTTTTCTCTCTGTTCCCATTTATTCCAGCTGAGTGACTCCATCAAGCAGATGAGACACCACCAAACGCTGCACACTCTGCTACATCACCCATTGCAGCCCTTCCCTGGGTGCAGGGAGGGCAGCTGGGAGGGGGGTATGACTGCTGGGAGGGGGGGAAGGAGGTGCTAAAAAAGGGGTTGGGGGGCTGATTTGGTTGGGTTTTGGTTGGATTTCTTATTTGGCAGAATCATTGTGAAGAGGAGGCAGCCTTCTCCTTAGAAATCATGTTTGTGGAGGCAAAACAATTGTGGAGAGGGAAACATCTCTCAGTGATCAGCTGCAGGTCCTTGACCTGTTGGAGGGCAGGGCTAGATGTTACTCCAGGCTTCTCCAGGACTTTCAGGGCTTGTCTCGTGGGCTTTTGGTACTCTGAGGCCACTGAAAGGTTTGCTGTGATTTTTTTCTAAAGTTGTTTCCTATCAGCGAGGACCAAAACGAACAAATGATTCATCGTGTGTGAAATGGAAAGGAAAAAGAGATGCCATGGTCTTTTCCTGGAAGTTCTGTTTTTCTTGTTCTACTGCATTCCTACACCCTGGCAAAAGACTTCTCAAGGATTCTCTGCTGCTGAACAGAGGGGCTGTGGCTCTAGTCCAAACCTGCCTTACTTGGGAATGGGGTGGCTTTTCTGTGATCATGACCAAGCTGGAATTCACACAATGCTGAAGAAATGCAAAAGAGACTTTTCTTAATTGCCTGAAAAAATAACACTTAATTGGGTTTTTTTTTTTGCATTTCTTTTTAGATCAAATGGTGCCTTGTCTAACCTCTGAATCAATAATAAAATAACCCCTTTACATTTGTATCTGGTGCTGTGTCCTCTTTGACCTGCAGACAGCGTGGAGGATGAGGAGGCAGATGACAGCATCAACTAACAATTGAGCTGGGTGGATCCTGGGGCCTGATCCTATCTCAAGGATGTTCTGTGCAGCTGGAAATGTGGCTTGTAATTCCTTTTATCTCTTCTCCTTGCTGAGTGTGTCCAATGCTTTAGATCACCATAGCAATGGTGGTTTTTTTGCTGGTTCTCTCTCCTGTTTCTTCCTGTGTGAGGCTGAAAGCACCGAGCCCCTGTGTATCCTCTCTGTCCAGAGCTCCTTGCAGCATTTTAACTGATGTAATCCCTTTTTTTCCTCCTCCCTTTGAATCTCCAGTGTGTGGAGGAGCTGATGTTATTTCCTTCTCTCTTCCTGCAGCAACTGGAAGCCACATTATTGTGTCTTCTGTTTCTGCCTTTCATACTTTGCTGCATCCTTTCCTCTCCCTAAATTCACAGGGAAAATTCTGTGCTAATGCAGGGAATGAGAGCATTTCCTGGCTTCCCTTTCTCCTGCCTCCACAGGGACTGACCCTCTGTGGTATCCCAGAGGAGGCTGTTCCTGAGGGACTGATGGAGGTTTGTTTATCCACGATCCTTGCAGCCCTGCATGTGTTCAGGCACAAGAAAAAGTTGGGTTGCTTGTACCCATTTCCTGCAGAAATTACTGGTTTTTCAGCTCCTCAGCCATTCTGTCTCTGTGCTCAGGTGTTTTCATTACCTCTCTGAACCTCCCATTACCATTCTTGTGCCTCTCTGGCCTTTGTGGTGTTCTTCCCTTGTTCCTTTTGATGGTGGATGTTAAACTGTGCCCTTCCTCCTTGTCTGGGATCGTGTCCTCTGCTCTTTGCCTGCTGTTGTTTTAAAAACCTGTTCTGCCTGCTCCTCCTGGCTTTCTGGTCTGTGGGATGGAGGAGTCTTGGCTCCTCTGAGCTGGGCTGTCTCTGTTTGATCCTTACCTGAGTGTGGAGCATGAAATGGATTGCTGGGGAGCTGTGGGGAGGCTGCAGTGGGGAGTCTGTGAGCTCAAGCCTGGCTTCTCTGGAGCTGGATCTGTGCTGTGACCTGTCTCTCTCAGGCTGACCTTGAATGTTTTCCACAGCACACGATGCTCTGCAGGTGCTGTAAATTCCTTCTGCTCAACCATTTCGTTCCAGCAAGCTGCTTATCAGGCACTCTTTTGAAAACTGTGTTCATATTTCATACACACAATTATTCAGCAACTATAAAAGGGGAAAATTCCTATTTATAGCACAAGGACCAGCATCAAATAGGACACTGAATTCTCACTGATAGAGGAAGTGACCTGTTCTCTAATGCAGCAATATTTCTGCTGAAAAGAAACAGCATCTTGAATGGGGGGAGGGATGAAAGCCCTGGGCCATCTCTTTCCATTAAAAATGTGCTGCAGTCCTAAAAATGTATCTGCCCTTCTCCCTTCCCAATGAAACCGTTGGCGACAGGGATTGCAGGAAAACCTTTCACTGTGGATTTGTGGTTAGTGGTAATGAGCCCACCGACTCCTGATGGTCTGGTTTGGAGCAGGGCTTAAGTTTCTGATCAATAACCTGATCTCTGACCTTGATGTGGGGGCGAGGAGGAGCCGCTGCAGAGATGTCTGTGGGGACTTGGTGCCATCACGGTGCTCATGTGCACAGCCCTGAAGGAGCGAGCACGTGGGGCTGAGGAACAAAGAACTGCCTGGGAGAGAGCCATGGAGGGAGTGGGGAGGTGGGAAGAGCTCAGGGGACACGGGTGGAACTGCTGCGGGTAAGGTGAGAGCCTGTTTGCTCTGAGCCTGCTTCCCCTGGCTGCTCTCCCTTCCTTTCCAGGTTTGTTGAGCCACAAGGCCATCACTGGCTGCTCCCTGCTGCTGTCACCCTGTCCTTCCCGCGGTCTCTTTGGGAAGAGCTGCAGTGGGTGATACCAAGCGAGGCCCTGCGAGGTGGAGGAGCAGAGGATGGGATTCCCCTGCTGTCGCTGTGGCAACGCTGGGCAGGGAAGCAGCAGCAGCAGCAGCGGGATGCGATGGGCGGCTGCGTGGCGTGGAGGGTGCGCTGGGGAGGCTGCGGGGGCCGGGCTGCGCTGACATCACGCGGGGAGGTGGCGCAGAGGGAAGGGGAGTGGGAAAGGGAGAGCGGGGAGACTGCGGAGGGGACAGCGCGGCACGGCAGTGGGCTCCGGGGACAGGTAAGGGATGTCGGGGGCAGGGGGGGCTCCGCGAGCTGCGGTGGGATCAGCGCCCGCCTCGGGGTGATGTGGTGCCGGGGGGCGGCTCCTGGGCAGCGGGAACATTATACAATGCCTGAACAGCCTGGCACAGCAGGGCTTGGCGGTGGGACAGTGAGAGCAGGTCAGAGCCCAGCTGGCTGCTGCAGAAAGTGGTGCAGATGCTTCTCCCCGGGATAGCAGTGTGTGTGTCACTGGTGCTGTACTGGGAAGAGCCAGGAGTACCTGCACTTCCAGAAGAGCATAAAGGGATTGGGGAGCAGCCCTGGTCCCTGGCTGGAGAAGGGGAGCAGAGTTCTCCCTAGGGATTAGAGCACGGATCATTGATGAAATGAATCAAAGTTAGATGCAGCTCAGGGGATGGAGTCTCAGTCTCAGAGGAGGCTGTGAGCAGAGCTGGTGCACTGGGAGCGAGCCCAGCAGCGCGTTTGTGGTGGGAATCCTAAACTGCACATCCCCAGCAGCCTCAGCACTTCCCCCGCCTGTGCAATAGTTCTGGGGAAGGCAGCCAGGTGCATGGGCACTGCCAGGAGCTCTCTGGATGTGGATCCTGGGCATTGCAGACCTGGAAGGCAAAACAACAAAGTCCTTGAAGCCTCTCTGGGTGTCGTGTTGCCTTTTAGCACAAGGGTTGCATAACGGGATCTGTTTTGTTAGCAGAGGGAGTAAGGGTGACAGTCACCTCTGCCCAGCAGCAGCCCAGCAATACCTGTGAGCTGTGCTGGCCCCTGCTCCTGGGGGGAATTTCATCTTTTTCTTAATCCAAGAGTTGGGCTGGTTCCTTGCTGCTTGTGGGTTCCCAGCTCTGATCCCACAGCAGTGAGGTGTAAGGACTCTACACCTACACTCAGGCTACACAGCCTCAGCTAGAAAATGAGTTTGTGAGCACCCCACACATCTGTGCTGACCTGATTGTGGCCTGTCAGGATTCTCAGTGTGTGCTTGACAGAGGAAAACACATCTGGGGTCAAAAGCCCAGTGTTGGTGAGCCCTGTGGGTGACAGAAACCAGTATGGGAAGATGGAAGAGGCACAGAGCAGAAACCTTGCTTGAAATCCAAGAACAGGGAGAGAGGCCAATGCTCCTGTCATGACCATTTTGTTGAACCAACACATTTCCCAATGTACTTAACGGGCTGGGGGCTGTGACCCAGTGGGGCCATGGAGAAATGCAGCCAGGAGTGCTTGAGAGTGTAATTGCAACAAGAAGCATAAATATTAATTATGGAAGCAATTGCTGTGTGGTGCACAATCCCTCCCCACCAAGGCACACATGCTGGGTCTACTGGGACCGCTTGGGAGTTGCCCAGGTGGCCATACTGCTGCTTATGGGATGGAAACTGCCAACAGCAACAGCTTGGGCTGCTCTGTGGGGCTTCTCTGGGAGCAAGGGGTGGGAGCCCCATGCTTAGAGGGTGACAGGCAGTGCTGTCACCCAGGGGGCTGCAGGGCCAGCTGCATTCCAAGCCTCTGGCATGGGCAGGCAGGGAGGGGAGGGCACATCAGCTGCTCAGTGCCAGCCCTCAGCTCTGCCCAGGGCAGCTGTGCTGGGAGGGAGCCAGCTCGGGATGGGCCCCTGTGCCCCAAAGGGGACCTCAGTGGGCACAGCCTGAGCTGGCTCCCAGGGCCAGTTGAGGAAGGGTGCAGGGAGGAGTTAACACTGCTGTTCTGCAGTTTCATTCCCCAGGTTGTGGTTCTGCATGACCAGCAGCAGGACTGCTTCAAAGTCATGTTCCAACTTGATTTTTTTTTTCAAGGTTATTCAAAATTCAGTGCAGGAATGGCACCAGGACCTCTCACAAACAGAAAGGCCAAGTCACCCCCTCCTAGTTCTTGACCTTCTCCGTGGCTCAGCTGGCTCTCTTTGCTTTCCCCCATACTTGCCTACACTGCAAAAAGCATGATCATGTGAATATTACAAAGCCTGGCATCTGCACATCAGCTGCAGCAGCTGAGGCTGTGACATGCTCCCGGTGCCTTGGTGTGACCCTGTCCCCACAGCCATGCTCTGTCACCTGTGTGTTCAGCCCCAACCACAGGCTGTCACTGCCAGGCACACAATAATACAGAAATACATTAACTGGAAACTCGTGCTCCCTCCTGGGAAAAGTGCTATGGATCTGTGAGCTTCTGCAGAGACCTGGAGCATCAGGAGGAGCTGCCTTTGTGCCAGTGGCCAGAGAAGGCCCTGGGAGCTGAGCCAGGTCCTGTGAGACATTTTAATCCTGCCTATTTCACAGTCTATCTTGGCCATGACTCTGCTGCAGTGACTGTTTCCCCCTTAGGGGCACTCACAGGCACCTACCTGGTGTTTGTTTTCACTCCTTATCTGGTGCCACTGGGAGCAGGCAGGGCAGCAGTGCAGCAAGGAGAGCCAAGGAGAGTGGGAATACACATTCCTACTGTTGCCTGGCCACCCTGGAGACCCCTCAATCCTCTCCCTAAAGCCAGGCTGAAACTTCTTTCTGCTGAGGTAGCTGTTAAATAGTTGAGGTTACTTGAGTAATCAATAGTTCTCTGGTTCCCAACAGAAATATTATCCCTTTGGCCAAATCAGCTTTTCTATCTTTGCTATAAACCTGCTCCTGACTCTCAGCTGTTGAAGGATCGAGGTGCATTCCTGATTTACCTGCACAGAACCCCACTCCTCTTCTTTCCTCCTGCCAGCACCACTTTTTCTCTCTGAGGTTGAGCTGTAAGGGCTGGAAGCACATGGAGAAATCACTGGAGTCATTCAGTCTCAGCCCTTCTCTTGGCCCTGCCCCAACAGCTCCTTCTCTGTGCTTGCTCCTCCAAGCAAAGAGGTGAGAGTCAATGGGATCCTCATGGCCAAGGGCACTGCTGACATAACTCCCAGTCCATGGACTCCAAAACAACTTGGCTCAGCTGCTGCCAGCTGAAGCAAAATTGTTCCCATCCCACAGCAGGAGCTGTATCCCAGAGAACCAGGGCTGGAAGACAAGGCACATGGTGAGGTTCCATGGCTGCACATAAATTTTCCTTGCAAACAGGCAAAGGCACCAACTCCCAGGATTTCTGGTTTCACCCCAGCAGCCAAAGGCTGGGCTGTGGCTCTGGGCTCCAGTTTCCTGTGACTGAAGGAGGCCACGAGGTTTGTTCTGCTGCTGGGGCAGTGGAAACAGCCTTGCTGTGCATTGTGAGCATCTCTGCACATCTCTGTTCTTTCCAAACCAGAAAAGGTCACAGAGACCCAAGAGAAACCCACTTCCCTCCTTCACTGAACTCCTTCTGCCTCGCACATGCTTTTGTTGCCATCCCTTGCTTGCCAAAGGCAGGAACAAACACTGGGGTTTGGCAGGGCTCAGAGCCTTGGCGTGCTGGATGGGAAAGAGACATTCTTGGTCCTCAGCCTGGGGACAGGGCTCTGCTCCACGTCCACTGCCAGATTTTCCAGCTGTGATTTCGCTGCTCATCCCATGCTGAGGGCACCGTTCTGGGGATGGGGAGCACCCCTGGGTGCTGGGCTGTGAATCCTGCAGAGATCCGTGGAAGGGGGGAGGGAATAGCTGGAGCAGCACCCAGAGCTACGGGAACCCCTGCGTGCTGCTGAGCTGAGTTTCACATCCAGTACGAAGCACAAGAGCTGGTGCTGCCCTGAGAGGCTTTTCCCAAAGAATGCCCAATTCCAGGGGAGCAGGGAAAGGCAGAGGGAGGCCATGTAAAGCAAAGCTGTCCCTGCTTTGGTTAAATAGGGCTGGTTTTGCTGACAGCTCCTCCTGAGAGACTGCAGGGAGGGATTCTGTAACACAGGGGCAGCTGAGAGGCTCTTGGCAGCTACTGCTGTTTCAGTGTCAGGCACTGGACTTTTCCTGGTGCTCAGGGGAAAAGGGATGGCAGCCCAGATCAGAGATGGCAGGGCTGGGCAGACGAGAGGCTGCTGCCTCCCTCTTAGAAGGATGCTCTGGAGCAACAGCAGGGCCTGATTTCAGAGGAGCATTTGAGGTCCCAGTGTACACTCTTCGCCCCAGAAACCTCCTACTCAATTTTCTGCTGTGCACAGCCCAGCCTGAGGCAGCACAGGGGGCAGTTTGCTCCAACACTGGTTAAGACAGCCACAGATGACAAGCCCCAGAGAGGGGTGAGTGTCTCTAATGGTGGTGAAGGGCTGAGGGAGAGGAGGGAGGGAGAAGAGGAATTTCCTGGTTGTGGTAAAGGTGGGTTGTGCTTGAAGTTAGAGAAAATGGGCTTGTGGTCACTGCATCAGGTTGGGGGAAGGAAGGTGTGGCTCAGCAGCAAAACCCAGCAGAACAAACCCCGTTTGCCTTTCCATGCCAGCCCAGGAATGAAGGACAAATTACAGCCCCCCTCTCCCTTTGCCCACCTTGTTGTGCTGCACAGAACAGAGCACAGGGGGAACAGCCCTGGACTGAGCTGGGGGCAGGGGCCTGGCAGCCAAGGGTCAGACTGGGGAAAGATCTCAGCTGAGACAAGAGAACCCTGAGCAAGCACGTGTTCAGAGTGAGAGGCTCACACATCCCCCACCTGGTTAATGCTGGCTCAGCCCTCTGGAAAATGACACACGTTTTCCTTGCTGTGGGGCCAGAGGGCTGTGCTGGGAGCCCCCTCTGCTCCCCCAGCCTGGCTGCAGGCAAGAGGTGCTGCTGGCAGGGTCCAGAATCACTGTTCTTTCCCCTTTTCACAGCTGTGGCTGGTTATGAAAATGGGAATGTTCCCCAGGCAGTTCTCAGCAGGAACTGCCCTTTCCAGGGCTGACCACATGGGCTCTTTCTTCCTCTTCCCACCTCCTGACAGCAGTCACAGTTTTGGGTACGTTCTAGTGTTGGCAAAGCACGGCCCTTCCCTGCTCCTCTTCCTCACATGACACACAAGAGAGAGAGGCTGTGGCCTGTGGAAGGGGAATGTTTGTTCCTGGACTGAGATCAATACAATTCTTGAGCCAGTCCTCCTCCCAAAGCTCAAAGAGAGAAAGAAGAAAAGTTG